TGAAATGAAAACTAAATATTAGATATGATTTTTTTAAAAAAAATTAAAATTTAGATATAAATAGACTAAAACTTGTAGTTTAAGTACTAAATAGTTTACCCTTATATTTAATATTTCCCCTAATCCTCTGAATTTTATTCAAACCACATATAATAAAACAGCAAGTGATTTCTCATTTATTTTTTCTGATATCAGAAATGCCCCAACCACCTATGATTTTTTTTTTCAAACCGACTTATTGTTACAAATATCTTTCAAAAATTAAATTGTGCAACAATGTAGATAAAAGTATATGAATAAAATTATATAGTAATTAATTAAATAATTCGATTATTATTAATCGAACTAATGTTCATATGAAAATAAAAACACTGTGAAGGAGCTAGTCAACACGTTATGTTCATAAATGTATGTACATTTCTCTGTTTTGCGCCTACACGAAAAAGTACGTACCTCAAAAATTTAATGAATTGAAGTTTCCCCGCCTATCTTGCTACCTTCCCATCTGTTAAAGCTCCAATTTTACCCAGGAACTTATTAGTTCTTATAATTCGGTTTAGAAAATTCTTTCATTTCATGGTCTATAGTTGCTCGGTTCCACAATTACCAACCTGATGAGCAAATCCAAGGAGCTCTTTCAAAATCTGGTCAAACCTTTCAAGTTCTACACAGACAAAGGTAAAATGGAAAACCCAGATTTTTTTTTTTCAATGGGAAAATTACAACAACAAAAAAAGGAAAGAAAGAAGGAAAGGGTGATGCCTTTCTACATGTGTGGTGATTTCTGGGTTTTCTTCTTTTTGGTCTATGATCAGATAGGCGGAATGGAGATGACTTGCAGAAAATAGCTCAACAAGAGCAAAAGCATTTACCTTTCCATATTTTAGTCGCTGCCACCAACAATTTCAACCATCATCACAAGCTCGGTGAAGGGGGTTTTGGACCTGTTTATAGGGTAAGATCCCGCCGCTGAAACTCTTGTTTGGTTGCCTAGAAAATACAGGGAATTTTTTTTATAACGGTTTGCCCTTTGGTTCACTGAATAGTTAAAGTTTCTCTGAAGGACAAATATTTTCTACTTTTTTTAGGTATTCAAAGTTTCAATTTTTGCATATAAGCTTGAGGATCCCATTTTGATTATAAGGTGATAGAGTTTAACTCGAATTCAAAGTGACATAAATTAATTAATATATAAAGATAAGGAAAATAGTAAATTTAATTGGCTTAAAAATAGAAAACTTTGTTAAAATAAATTTCTTCTTTCATATTAATAAAATTCTTCTAATATGCTTGTGGTTTTTCCCTTCTGGGTTTTTTTAATAAATCTTGGTATTCTTTGTTTTTCTTTTTCGAACGTGTTTATTTATTTGTCGATAATCATCGTTCTGATATTATAACACCAACTTTATCTAAAGATTAAACCATTTGCCCTTAGGGTGCGTTTAGATAGGGGTATGTGAGATTACCGGGGGAATATTTTTTTCCAGAATGTGATTCTCCCGTTTGGATTACAAAGATTCCCAACCCCCGGTAATAAGCTATTCCCAACATTAGTATTTTGGGGGATTATTACCGGGAATGTGATTCCTCCACTTCTTTAGGTATTTGTCATTCCTTGGCGTTTTGGACTAAAATGCTCTTAAACATTTTTTTCTCAAAATATCATTCTTCTGTCGTTGAATAAAAAAATTGTACGAATGTTAAATTACAAATTTATCCTTAAACTATTTTAGATTTACAAAAAAAAAGTTCATAACTAGAATTTTATATGAAGTTCAGGGGTTAAAATAAAATTAAACTCTTTCATTAAACCTATTTATCTTTTAAATTTTGTAAAAAAATTATATAAATTATTTAAATTTAAAATTTTTAAAGAAAATATATAAATTAATCATAGTAAAATTATATATTTTCACATATCTTACATTCCAATATTTTCATTTGAATATTTAGAATTCAACTTGTTAAAAAACAAATATATAATAAGGACAATTTGATAAAATATACATTCTAATAATCTTTTATTCATTTAACCAAACACTGTAATCTTACATTCTTCCTAAACGAACCAAACACAACAATGCAACATTCCTAGTAATGTGTTAGGTAATGTTACATTCCGACAATCCTATTCCCGGAGGTAATACTACATTCCATAAACCAAACGCACCCTTAATAACTCATGTCTTTCAAACCATTCAGCTGTTTCCCCTTTAGATTAGTCTCATCTCAGATGCTAATAACAACAAGAGCAATGCATACAAATTTACAATTGAAATGGCACATGAAGTTTTGGAAGTTTCACCAAGCTTTACAATCATGTTGCTCTTAAGCGGTTCTGGTTTCGAAATGCTGATTTTTCTTGTTGATTAACATGCTCCGTGAGGATTTTTTTTAACTTCACGACTGTTCCTTAAATTATAGGGGAAACTAGATGATGGAAGGGAAATTGCAGTGAAGAAACTATCTCATAGCTCAAATCAGGGTAAAAGGGAGTTTGAGAACGAGGCTAGGTTGCTAGCTCGAGTGCAGCACCGCAATGTTGTGAACCTTTTAGGTTACTGTGTTCATGGTCAGGAAAAGCTTTTGGTATATGAATACATCACCAATGAGAGTCTAGACAAGCTTCTTTTCAGTAAGTTGCCGTAATTTCTTTGCTGTTATTTTTCAAGAATTTTAGCTCTGTGTTTAGAAACTATGTGATATTGGGTTACTCGATGGGAATAAATCCTCTCATGCCAGTAAGACCAATCTTCCCATATCTGTACCCGAATTAGCGATCTCCAAGTTGGAGTCTGAAATTCTAACTTATTGGTAAGTTCTAGTATGTACCTGATTGTAATGGTTAAGTTCACTGTAACTGAAATCTAAAACCATTATGGACATGCCGAAATGTATCTTATATATCAAGATCAAAGATAGTTCTGCTGGACTCCCTTTTCTGAAACTTAGTTTCTAGAACGCGTGCTCAAAATTTAGTACCGGGCAATTTGTTGTCAAATTATTTATCATCAACAAGTCAAAGGATCTGTGTCCTGAGACACCGGTCATTTGGCATTTATGGTGATAATAATCATGACAGTGATGTTCGTTTCTCATGCAGAATCAAATAGAAAATGGGAGCTTGACTGGACGCGGAGGTACGAAATAATTTCAGGCGTGGCACGGGGCTTACTCTACCTTCATGAAGACTCGCACAAGCGCATCATTCACCGGGATATCAAAGCAGGTAATATATTACTTGATGATAAATGGATCCCAAAGATTGCCGATTTTGGCATGGCTCGTCTCTTCCCCGAGGATCAAACATGTCAACACCCGTGTAGCCGGCACCAAGTACGTCATCTAACATCTTGACAAGGTCTTTAGGGAATTTCATGATAGCCTATTCCTTCGTCCTGAAGTGTTGATTTAACAGTGTTCTATTTATCTTTGGAAACCAGTGGATATATGGCACCGGAGTACGTCATGAACGGATATCTCTCAGCAAAGGCAGACGTGTTCAGCTTCGGGGTTGTGGTTCTGGAGCTGATAAGTGGCCAGAGAAACTCATCGTTCAACTTAGATATGGATGCTCAAAGTCTACTTGATTGGGTAAGAACAAATATTTCGATTCGACCGTTCTTGAATGTTTGTCTCGTAAGACCTCTCGTGCACCAGAGTCTTATGCACCTCGTACTTCTGTTGTCAATGTGGGGTTTCAATGATCTCCGAATGGAAAATTTGCCATATTTAACCTTTACAAGTATATATATATAAAAACCCCACTTGTTTGAAATAGGAACCATTGTTCATCTAGCTCCCACCAATAAGCATAAAGAGAAGTTTTAGTTTGCAGAAGAATTCAAACTTCAACTTTATATAGAAGTCTGTTCTAAGAGAACAGACATGGTAAATGCATTTGTGGGGTCTTCTTGTTATTGCAGGCTTATAAGCTTTACAAGAAAGGGAAAAGCTTGGAGTTCATGGACCCGGTCTTGGCCTCGACCGCAGTCCTGGAACAAGTAGCTTCGTGCATCCAAATAGGGCTACTATGCACGCAAGGTGATCCGCAATTACGGCCCGACATGCGTCGGGCTGTTATTTTGCTGTCGAAGAGACCCGGTAGTCTCGAAGAGCCAACCAGACCCGGAGTTCCGGGTACCAGATACCGACGATCCCGCAGGCCTCTCAGATTCTCTTCCACTGCCGGAACGACGAGTCGTGTATCTGATTCCCCAACATCTGGATCAACCTTTAATACAAATACTGCTTCTGCTTATACATCAGCTCTTGCAAGCCCCTTGAGATCAGACCCGCATGGAAAGCGCCCAGTCCAGAGTTGAAGTTTTGCAGTGGATTAGCAATTTAGTTAGTCGAACATAATATACATATATTCTTTTTTTTCTTTTGATTGTCCTTCCGGTTTGGCTAATTCGCATAATTCGGATCATATATATATATGATTTTAGTGAGTTAATCTTTCAGCAGAGATTTTTTATATACACAATGATTAAAACTCGAGATTTGTTTGAACGGTATAAGTTATTTATTATTAAAATCAATACCATTGGTATAATATACGTATATTTAAATTTATTTATCGTAAAATATTAAAATTTTATTAGTTAAAATTTGATTTATTTACCTTAAAATGCCAACATTTTGAAGATCTTGACTTGTACGATTTGGATAACATTCGAATTCGAAAGCTAGACAGAGACGAGAGTGAGTGGTCTATTGTACGACCAAATGCTATATTCTTTTGACACAACAAACCAATAGAGTATTGACACGTGTAAAATAACAGGCTTTTCTTTTTTCAAATTGACGAAGTTGATAAACCAGACTTCTAAAACCTTCCAATCATATTTCAGCTTCTTACAACGTCACCGATCCTCGTGATCTCCTATGTAACAAATCACATCCGTTGGATGTAAACCTTTCCAGCCGTTGGATCATAGCCCCTATCCTTCTTCCTCCCACTTTCTTTTCCTTTTAAACTCTATAATCTCATCTCCGTCTCACTTCACAACAACAGTTCCTCTCTTTCCCTCGGACAAAAGAAAGAGACATTGAGCTTCAAATTTCAATGGCGGCTGCTGACGTCACTAACGGTACTCAAGGTCCCCCACAAGCTCGACAATCTTTACTTCCAGATTACACTCAGGTACTTGTGTTTTGCCCTAAAGTTTCCCTTTTTTTTGGCTGTGTCATTCTATGTTAGCTTATTTTTCGTTTTGAATTGTCTTGGCAGCTGATTTTGGAAGCCATAGACGCATTGGACGAGAAAGCCGGGTCGAATAAGACAACGATAGCGAAGCACATCGAGTCGACTCACTCCGATCTCCCAGCGGCTCACACCACTCTACTTTCCCACCACCTCAACAAGATGAAACAAAGCGGTCAAATAGTCATGTTAAAGAACAATTACATGAGACCTGACCCGAATGCTCCACCCAAGCGTGGACGCGGGCGTCCTCCTAAACCCAAGGCTCCTCTCCCACCCGGCACCGTCGTCTCTCCGCCTAGACCTCGTGGTCGTCCTCCCAAAGATCCACTTGCTCCGCCTAAACCGAAACCCACTCCTGGGACCGGAAGGCCACGCGGACGGCCCCCTAAGACGGCTAAAGCTACACCGCCCGTCGACCCTCCAACTCCTGGAGTTAAGCGAGGCCGTGGTCGACCGCCGAAAGTGTAACCCACCGGCCACCGCGAATTCTTCTTTTATCTCTTCAACTTTTTAATATTTTTAGATGGTGTTAGTTCTCTCTCGTCCACTAATTATTATTTTAGGTTTTTTCCCCAAAATTTTAATTTTTTTCGGGGGGTTTGCTTCTGTGTAGAAACTGGGGAGGCTTCAGATTTTAATGACTCGTAATTAGCATGTAAATCAGGTTCAATTATGTAGCATTCTGGTTTGTTTCTTTAAATTTTAACTTTAAAGAGAATTATGCACAGAAAAGGCAACTGTTCTGTAAGGTGGCAAGTTTCCTTTTTAGAGCACGCCTGAGATTCGTTAAAAAAGCAGAGAAGAGTTGCTTTGGTGAAATTCTTATTGGGTTTGCTGATTCTTTTGCACATGGGGTGGGAGGCAAAGGCAATACCAATAGTAGATGTTAATATCTAATTCGTCTTTGCTTAAATTCTCATTAGTGAAATTATGCCACTACTGCTTAAGTTATTTGGACTTTATAGTTTGAACCTCATATTTCACCTTATGTTCAATTTAGTCATTATCTTCACCGATATTCCAAATACTTATATTTTGCGTTTGTTTGTTTATTAGATGTACATAAAAATTTTATTTATACTTATTTATTTAATTTAATAAGTTAATATAAACGAATAGTTAACGTATAATTCTTGGAATGCAAACCTCACAACAACCAGTCAATCACCCAAAAATCGGTGGCCTTTTTCAAAAAGTGGAAAGAAAAGTGTAAAAAAGCTTTAGGATTATCACCAATGAGAAATTATGATTATGAGAAGAAAGATTTTAAATCAAAATCTTTCTTCTCATAATCATAATTTGATTTTAATTTAATAATAAAAAAGATTTTAATCGTAATATTTGATTTGATTTGATTTTATTAATTTAAGCTAAGTTTTCATAAATCAAAATTTTATTCAGTATCTTTAATTTTGAAAATTTCGATCCAAAACATTATCAACCTAAGATAAGCTTAACCGTCCAATTGGAGTAATTATATATATCCCGTTGTTTGGTCACAATTAAGAGATAATTGACAATGAAAATGAGATTTATAGAGAAATATTTCCAGAGTACATTTGGAGGTGGTACGGGCAGGCTGGAAGCAACTACATGCAATTTTTCATTAAAAATTATAAAATGGACACTCTACTATAGAATGTTACTTTTTTAAATCTTTCAATTATTAAACGTTACAAAATGGTCACACGACTGCTCATGATGTTCCAAACTTGTCATTTTTCATTAAAAAATTGACGGTTGTCTAAATTGGACCTTAACATGATGACTGTGATATGATAGTCGTTCAAGATTTTTGTATCAAATTTTATCATATCACAGACAGTAGGTTAACGTTAATCTCATAATACTATTAGTTTTTTAATGGAAAATGAAGGGTTTGGAGAATAATGAATAGTCAAATGGTCGTTTTGTAACTTTTAACAGTCGAGGGACTCAACAAATTTTCCCTATAAAACTAAAACTGAAGAGATTCTACATGTGAGTTACACTTGTTTGCTAAATTCAATCATAAATTTTCATTAAAAAGTGTCATGTGATATACTTTGATCGATCAGTGGTGGTTTGAGAGCAAAATAAACAATTCATATATACTTTAGAGATACTATTGACTAAAAAAAATTAGATACTAAATTGAAAAGACAGACAAACATTGAGGGCAAATTGTACATTAAACCTAAAAGAAAGGATAAATACGGAGGTACAAAAAGGATATTAATAGAGAAACCCAGTCCACATACGCATTCTGCTATCGAAACAGCTGGCGGAGGCTGGGACTGCTTCAATCAACATCATCCAACTCGATTAACACTAACGACCTTTTTAATGTATTCTTAATCCGACATTAATTCATGTAAATACCCAATCACATTATTTTAAATTTTTACCCAATTGTATTATTCTTAATCCGATATTCGTTTCTAAATATATTATTTACTACTCCATAATTGTACTTTTTGAAATTATAAATAAAAGTTCATTTAACTAAGCAAATGCAAAGCAAATCATCGTATTTATTATTTCATTCCCTCCTAAATACAACAATTTCAGCATTATCCACAATAAAGCCAAGTAATTAACCAACGAAACCTATATTACAATTTCAACAGGAACGGTCACTTTTATATTTACATATCTTCCAAATGTTGGCATCACCCGTCAACCCATCGACAAATTCAAAGTCCAGCATCGAACGGCACTCCGGTTCCCGGAATCCAAGCATTCCCGGCGAGAAAGTTTCCGACGGTGAATTTCCCGGCGTCTGCGGCGCCTATAACATGATATCCACCCCAATTCACTCTTCCAGCGGTGCCTGCACCGGTGCCGGTGTTCATATGCTCGGCATAGTAAACACTGCTCAAGGCGAAATTTCCACTCCACGGTAGCCAACCCTCTGCATCGATCAGTCCATCCAAGCCACTCCTCATAAACACAGTTCTTGAATATTTCTGCCATGGCCGCCCCAAGTAGCTCTTGAATGAACCCTGAACTGGTCTCAGATCAGATGATGCCGTCACGCGAGAGTTGTGGATGATTATGCCCGTATTCTCATTCGGGTCGGTTCTCGCCTGTGCTGTGACGGTGTTCATTTGGCCGCTCATCGGTCTTCGGATGTAAATGTTGCAGTTTTGTAAAACGGCGACGGCGTCGCCGAATATAAAGTCAACCGTTCCGTAAATGTCACAGTCACGGTAGAACTGACGTTGAGTATAGACGTATAAGGTGTCCTGGTAACCTTTGAAGCTGCAACGGTAAAAGACCGAGAAATCGGAGCCGGACCGGAGGGCCACTGCCTGGTGTTTTTGGGGTCCGGCGGTGTTCTCGAAAGTTATGTCACGAGCTATGAAGCCGTCGCCGGATACACCTAGAAGAAGAACTCAGTGAGTAATCCAATGATATCATATGGATAAAAAGAAGAAAATATAATTATTTTATTCATATTATGCAGTATAAAGTAGTGGTTTGGGGTAGGTGGAGAAGAAGGAGACAAAAGAATTTCCAATTAATGAATTGTAAAAGTTGAGTTACTTTTTACTATTGAATTTAGAATGGAAAAAAAAAAGACTTGCGGATATTTTGCATGAGAGTCGCAGCTTTAATAATGTTTAATAAAGTTTGTTGTTTGATGCTTACCAACAGTTGCTGTACGAAAAGTTGTGACGGTTTGAGCATTTTTGTTACCACTGATAACTGTGGCATCCATCCCATCTCCAATCAACATTATGTTTTTAGCTGACCTTGGAATCTCCACGTTTTCATTGTACACACCAGCTTTTACGTGTATGACGGTTCTCCGTCCACTGCCAACTGCTGCCACTGCCTCCGATATGGTCTTGAAGTTGCCGGAACCGTCTTTGGCCACCACGATATCAGCGTTTAACGGTGCACTGGTTTTCTGCAGGAGCTTCCGGTCTGCTCCCGAAAGCCAAGCAGGGAATTCGTGGGAAAGCAGGCGTCTGTTAGTGTTACCTACTTGTTTGGTGGTAGCAGTGGGCTTATTTATGGCCAGTGAATTGCTAATCAACTTGGAGAAGTTGCCTAGCATGGATGGTAAGGCTTGCAAATGAGAGGCCAAGTTGAAGTCAATGAAGCCATTTTGGCAGGTTTGTTGATTGGCAATTGCGGCGCTTAACCAGGTTTGAGCATCTAATGGGTTGCTACTGCTCTTTGATCGGTTAAGATGGACAATGGTGTCCTGGTAAAGCTCCGAGCAGTCATTCCAAGCTAATTTGGCTCGCTCGTCGAACGAACTCAGGTCCATGGTCGAGACGAGCCGATGAGCTTGAACCGCTTGGTCTAGGGTGACCTGGAAAGCGAGGTCACGGAACGATAACAGGGTTTGATCGAGGGCAAGAGTCGATGCAACATTAACAGCATGTCCCATGAAATGGTAGCAGACATCAGGGTAGGGTGTTTGGGTACATGATGATATTGTAGCACCATGCACAAAGTTCCCTGGCGGGAAACAAGTGAAGAAACAAGCAGAGAAAAATGCAAGGGCAACAAGCTTCTCCATGAAGACTATTATACTTTGAAAAGTTTTTAAAAGTTTGAACTGATGAGAAGAGAGGGAGGGAAGAGGGGTTTATATAGGGCTAGAAATGGGGGCATCATTTGGTGGGACAAAACAAGTATATGGAACTGTGAATGGGGTTTTAGTGTTTAACTGAAAACATCAAACACAGAATTGGTTTTAGGGTCCATGCATAAGATGTTTACGTTAAAATATAATCTTTTGCACCAAAGTATTATCGCTCTATATGTGCATGTGGTTTGGAAGTGGTTGTTGGGGGTCTTTTGCACTTTTTACAAGTCCTCTCGATGCCACGTGGATATTTTTGGACATTGTTCCGTGTGTGTATGCACAAATATTAGCAAGGTCTTGTCCTTGTTGGATTTTATTGATCTATTTTGTTTTCAATTTTTCCAACCTAAAATGTAATAGATATGGATTATCAAAGGGTTGATAAGGCTATATTTGACATGGGCAGCAATACAATCCACAAATTTAAAGCTTGTTTGTAGGACCCTACCTACAATTAGACCACCACCAATATGTTGTCCATCAAAATTATAAGTATAATATACGATTATTATAATAAAATCTTGTAAAGTGTTTAGAAGACCTTTTCATCGTAAGAATCTTTTTATAAATAAAATATGATGATTTAAAATAAAATAAATTTTAGAGATAATGCACATATTGTTTACATAAGGTGAAAATAAAACATTAGTGCCCAAGTACCCAAGACCAAAGCCTTATTAGGAAAATAGATCATTATTAATTAACTGAATAATTGTATTTTAACTCCCTAAGTTGTATTTTATTATCATTTTAATAAGTGAAACTTTTTTTTAAATTTAATTCCATGGTTTTTTCAAACATGAAGCACGTTTTAAATCTTTGATCTTTTTGACATTTTGACATAAGTTTAAAAGGTTAAGGAATCAAACCGAAGCAAAAATTTCTAAGTACTAAAGTGATAATAAGATACAATCTCATGGTTAAAATATAATTTATCTTTTAATTAAATCTATTTTTAATCAAATAATTGATCCTTTTGTGACATCCTAACCACTCTCTTTTATGATATATAGTTCGATTCTGAAAAATAATATGTATTAAAGGAAAATATAGATGTCGTTGATTATTTGAAGTAGGAATCTTACCTTACATAATTATATGTAATATTTTTGTATATTTATTCCAATTCCTTGACACGCTATTGTGGCACGCTTTTACTCCGCTCTTTTGGCACGTTCTTTATGGTTTCTTATGACTTTTGATACGTTTTATGCAAACCTCTGCGGTTGTGTTCAAGTTCGCACAAAGACCCTCACGACATTTGTTTTCTGATTGGTTTGTCGGTGGTCACGTATTGCCAGATCCCCTCTTTGGTAAAAGATTGTTTGTCGATATAATCAGAATTATATAGCAAATCAGTCTGGCAAATAATTTGGTTCGCTCACCACTCTTTTATCATTTTGTAAAATGTCTCGTTCGACAAAGACAAAAAAATTTATGAAGATTATTGAGTTCTTTTGATGTCGGACGTCATTCTCAATGGAATTTTCATTTTTTTCATATCTTTTTTTTAATATTTTTATGTATGAGATTTTTTATGATTATTGTCCTCAATTATCTTTTTGGGTGCGTTATAAATTTTGATTCATTTTAATATTTTTATTAATAAAATTTAATTTTTCGTGGTTAAAAAAAGTCTTATCCAACGTGAAATACATTTATAACATTACTTTCCTCAATTTTTTCACTAAACCTTAACTTCCAAAAAAGCTTTAAACCTTTGGTGGTCCTTTTTTATAGTCTCTAATTGACAAGTTAATAAACATTAGCCAATGCATCCGTCACTACAATTTCCAAAGCGTTGCTTTGAAGAATATTAAGCCGCCGTTTCTCTTGGCTGTGATGCAGTCTTCCTCGTTTTTATTATGAAAACACCCTTTGGTGCTTATTTTCTCCCGACGTTTTAACAGAAATTAACACTCTCGACTCTTTCCCTTTTTTCATGATGTTGAATTATTTATTTTTTTCTTCTAATTTTTGTTGTTAATCATGTGGCTAGAATCGATCTTATTTACGTGAAAATTATTAGTGAAAAAAAACCCCAAAAAAACTAAAAAGAATTTATTAATGTAGAAATAGAAAGAATAGAAGAGAAATGTGATTAAGTGTGAATATTGAATTAACTTGTAACCTTAATCGTAATATTTATTTATAAGGATAGTTATTTGATTATAAAGTAAACTCGCATATCAAAAAATATTTAGATTAGGGTTTTTCTACTCTTAATCAAAGTATAAGTTTAGAAGTATAGTTCTATAAGGATTTAATATGTGTGGCAATGACCAACATAAAATTAAGATCATACAATCTTTAATGGAATTCTTTTTTAACAAGCGAGCTATAACACGAACTATTAGAACTAAATTAAACATAATTCAAGTCGTGAAAACTCTAATTATTATCATTATAGCATGAACCGAGCGACCTCGTTGATAAATTAATTATTTTTTTTGAAGTCTAGAATTCGAATACTAAGAATACTAGGAAAATAAACGTTGAATGTAAAATGATAAACTATAATATTAAATGATTAAGTGAAAAGGACCACAAAAGCTTAGCCAGCCAAGTGTTTTATTGAGTGCGCAATCCCGTTTAATCAAGCTCTAAAACCAGCTAATTAAGTCAATTTGGCTTAATCATTATCAGTCTTGATGACGAGACTAAGCATCTTCCAAACGTGAACTTCTCAACAACCACCACCAAAGAACCCGTATTCCTTTTTCAAAAAAGTGCAAATTAGAAAAGTGTAAAAAAGCTCAAGATTATTGACCAATGAGAAATATTAAGAATTTAACTCACCAAGAAAAAATAAAATATTAATCAATGAGAGTTACGTTTATCAAGACGTTTGATTTGACGTATCATTGTGTCTACTTGATGCATGGCTGAGGAGACTTAGACATATATGAATTAATTTAAGATGTTTTTTCATTGTTTATCAACTTCTATTTACATCAATTATTTATGAATCAGTCGTGATGAATCTACAATTCATAGTGTTCATTGGATAATTTTCTACCAGTCTAAAATCATACAAACAACATTATTTATTAAAATAAATCAATTTTTAATCTTACGTACATCAAAATATGGATTTCAACATCCTATCAACAGTGTTTCTTACTAGAAACATAACTAAAAACAAAAAAAAAATATCTATTACAAAATAGCCCTAACGAATTCATTTTGAACTATGCTAGAGAATAATGTTTGAGGGTAATGAAAACCTAATTCTTAAAATCTAAAAAATCCAATCAAACTGGCACAAACCCTAACAACATTAGAAAAATTATTTGAAAACCCATTCGAAAATAAGGAAAGCCACAATGATTCAATTCATAAAAAATAAACTCACATTCGAAATAATTTGAGGACTATGGGAATAATCTATAGGAAAAAAAAAGAAAACACACCTTCTTAATAGATTGGAAGTTGTTGCTATAAGGATTTTGGAAAAAAAATTGAGGATCGTGGTAATGAAACCCTAAACCCCAATCTATTTTGGGAATAATTGGGATTAGGAAGATGAAATTATGAGAAGAAGGGAAAATGAGATTATAAATACGTGTTTTATTTTTTTTCATTAAATTCAAATAGAGTATCTATTAAATAAGATTTGTTTCGTTATTTAACAAAGTAATAAGTTTGGTCTAGTGGCAAAAGTTGTACCATTCCTCAACACTTGCCTAGGTTCGTTTCCCCTTCCAAGCAACTCTCCTTTTAAGAGTTCCTTTAAACAAACATCAATCGGATGTGTCACTCTCTGATTGATCATAAATAATTAAATATAAATAATTATTTATTTTATATTTAAAATTTTTGACATGGCAGTGCCACATCATCATGAATTCTAACATGGGCATGCCATGTTAGCATCCACGTCCATGTGTACTTGCTTGGTCATCATCAGGTATTGAATGTCAGTTGATTGACGGTTTCCATCAACTGAGGGTGATTTTTGACCCAAAATTAAACGTTGAGTGAACGAATGTGTCAAAAAAATAATAAGGGTATATTTGACAATATTATCAAATGTTTGGGTTATTTTGTTGTATTGTGCCAAAAATTAAACGTTAGGTTTACTCATTTTCATATATTTGTAAGCTTTACATATTGGTATAAATTAAAAGTGGAATAATATATTTTAAAGATCATATTCTTTTTATATGATAAGAGAGAGAATATTTTGTTACCAAGTTTTGAACACTTTCACTTACGTGCACTATTTTTAATATTATTCCAACATTCTTGAAACCAACAAGCTCTCTCTATTGAAACTTGGAAACAATAATTGCTTAATCTTTCTGGTATGATTTCATTTACTGCACTTTTTGCTTAATCTACAATTTAATTTCATAATTTTGGTGGACAATGTATTAGTAATGGTCTAATTGTAGGAGGGGTCCTTCAAACAAGCTTTAAATGTGTGGATTATATTGCTGCTCATGTCTAATACTCTCTTATCAACCCTCCAATAATCCATATCTATTGTACGTTTCTAATACTGTATGGACAAGGTATTAGTGGCGGTCTAATTGCAGGTGGGGTCCTTAAGCAAGCTTTAAATTTGTGGATTGTATTGCTGGCCATGTCTAATATAGCCTTATCAACCCTTTGATAATCCATATCTAATATTAGCATTTGATACTTGGAAAATAAATAAATAAAATAAGAATTAATATTTAATATAATACGACTCGAACCAGTCTTGCTAACATTTGTGCATTTACACATGGAACAATGTCCAAATGTAGACACGTGGCATCTAGATGACTTGTAAAAAGTGCAAAAGACCCCAACAACCACTTTCAAACCACATGCACATATACAACGATAATACTTAGGTGGGGGTGTCAAACATGGATGGATCTAGGAGTTATCGGGCCTTCATTCTTCTAAAAATTTTAAATTTTTATATAATTGAAGTTTTTATATTTT